TCCCCTTGTTTGGGCTGTAGGTGTGTAACAACAACGGGAACTGTCACTGCAACCCAGGATGGGCCCCTCCATTCTGTAACCAGTCTGGCTACGGTGGCAGTGTGGACAGTGGCCCAGCTCACACAGGTAGGACACTGAAACTGGCCCTCATTCTCATGATTTAATACTCATGAAAATAATTCTCATTATTTTCTCATGCCCCGGGGGCTGAGAAAATAATCTACTACTAATAGCATAAAAAGAATCTACTAGTAACATACTAATATTTTTTCCTATTGCATGAGACATAAATCATGGACTGACTTGAAGAACAAACATTATTATTTGATAATGAAGTAGATTTCATTGGCCTTTACACACAAAATGTTCTCCATCTCTTTGTCTAAAAGCAAAGTTCATAATCCATAGTTTTCTGAGGAAAATCTGTGTTACTTTCAGCAGAATTTTATTGGATTTTACTAAATACTTACTTTGGGAAAGGAAAAAATTGTTTTGTATTTATTAAAAGTTTAGGAAGGCAAAGCAAATATGCAGAGCACTTGTGGTAAGCAAATACAGAACAAATTTGTCTGCTTCAGAATCATTGAAAACATTTTATGGAAAAGGAAAGACATTGCATATACATAGGGTGGGTAAAGCAGAAAGAACTTGTAATACCATAAAGCCAAATCCTACTTTTCTGCTTGCAACATAATATAAATTTCAGTGAAGTTGTTAATTCTATTCTGCAGAAATTTGAAGATTGTACTTTTTAAAACAGAAAAAATCAAGTTTTAAATTCCATGATTTCAATTCTCTTTCCCTAGATACATCACTTCGGGATGGGCTGCTGATTTTCTTCTTCCTGGTGCTGCCCGTAGCCATCCTCACTGCAGTTGCAATATTTAAACGTGATGCAATAAGGAGAAAACTTTGCAGGAAAAGCAGAGGACAGCACAGGTATTTCCCTTCTCACAGGTGCTATTCCACCAAGGCTTTACCTACCCAAACTATTCCACACCTCCTGAAGTACAGGGCTGCCCTGCTAACAGCAGCAGTGGGGAGTGTACAGCCCTCCCCTGCTCCTTGGAGGTGCAATCCAGACACTCAGTTGTCTGTTCTCAAGCATTTGTTCCCAAATCCATTGCACTTTTCTAATTTTTGTTGGTAATTTTATTGTATGGACACAGGGGCAGAGCATATTGAAATTGCCTGTCAAGTCCAGAACAGGATGGACTCAAAGCAGGGTCCAGACCTCTGAGCTGGACCTGTGTCCTTGGAAAATGCTGCATCCCTGAAGGATTCCTGATGATGTGGTTTCTGTTTCAGGGATAACAACGGGCAGGAACCAAAGCAAGGCAACAGAGCAAGTCAGGAAACAGGAAATAATCAGGTAAAAGAGATGGAGACTTGGATTATTTCGTGTTGGGCAATCCAGACTGCACGGTGCCTTCTCTCCAACACAGCTAATCATGACTTTGTGACTTTCTGATACCACCTCTGTTATTTCTTAGGCCAAACACTGGAGATGCTGCTTAGCCAGGCTGTGGGTCTAGCTCTGATAAAACTGAATAAAAATTATCAAAACAAAATATTGCAAGAGAATATGAAAAACACCCCAGCAAATGAGAGCCAGTTCTAAAATGTCATTAGCTTAATACTGAAGAATTATCTGCACTTTGTGTTTTCTGCTAACCTGATTTTTTGCAATGTTTTTTCCAGCCTGCTGCATCAAGTCACAATATTTTTACCAAATTGCATTTCCCTGGCACAAGGTTTGTAGTGTTTAAAACCTTCTTCACTTCATCTTCCCTATGTTTATGTTGCTGTAAGTGAAGTTATTGATGTCCTGTGTCCTGCTTAGGGGGATTTTTCGTGCAGCATCATGAAATAGATTAAAGATTACATTAGGTTTAATTAATAGATAAATTAAGTTTACATTTAATAGATTAATTAGATTTAATTAATAGATTTTTCATGCAGCATCAATCATAAAGGCTTGAAGGAAAAATGTTGACATAAACACTGGTAAATGCTGCAAGGGAGAGGAAGGGGCAGAGAAAATTAGGTGGGAATGCTGGAAACTGTTTAAAAATTGTAAAGAACCAGTTTAGAAATGTCAGGTGTCTCAAGCCATGAAATACTGAACCCAATGTGTTTTCCCCACCTCAGGCAGCCAGTCCAAACCCAGCTTCCTGCAGCTTCCTCAGGACCCCAGCGGCCCCCAGTCCCACACAGACCAGTTGTCTGAGATGTTTCTTGGGAACCCTCAACCAATTCTGACAAAAACTGGCCTGGAAAACACATGAAAGGATTTCAGTGCTCCAGTGCTGCCCTTGAGCAGCCAAAATGCCTTTGGGAAGCTCCTGGCAGGCCTGGGTGCCCAGGGGCACTGAGCACAGGTTGGTGACACCCCAGAGCTCAGCTCCTTGCTGCTGGCTGTGTTTGTGCCTCCTCTACCTCACCTTTACAGCTCAGACCCTGGAGTGAACCTGGAGAGTGTCAGAGAGCAGGACTCTCCATGCTGCTCCCTCTCAGGGCACAGGGCACTGAGCTCTGCTGTTCACTGACAAAAATCAAGGATGGGAGATCTGCACCTCAGCTCCTGGGCTCTCCTCTCCTCAGGACACTGCCGGGAGCTCCGAGGGCCTGCAGAGCCAGGTTTGGGGACAGTCCCTGTGCCCTGCCCTGCCCCTGCCTGCCATCAGCCCCGCCAACGCTGGGCCCAGAGCCCACCTCTCACAGCCAGCTCAGCTTCCACTCCAGGTCATTTGCAAAAGAAACCTCACCTGGGGACACCAGGAACTCTGTAGGTCATGTCCTGAGTCTGAAAGAACCCATCCATCTGTTACAGAAGTTATGGGATGTTGGGAGATACCTCCACAGCTCCACAGTGGTTCAGGGTTTATGCATTTTCCTAGAAACTGCTTCCACCTCAAAAGCAACAGAGTCAACTTTTGTCATTCTAAACGGGACAGTGAGAAACCAGCACTGAGGTCACAGAGGATGTATGCAGGGACATGATTTTCCAAATAGGCCACCACCAAATGGATGCAAGAAATCCAGGGAAAGACTCCAGCAGAAGGGAGCAGGGCAGGGAGCACCTCACTGCCAAGGACAGAGCTGTGGTGTGCATCCACCCAGCCCTGGGGGCTGCAGCACACCCTGCCTGCCTCAGTGCAAATTTCAGAGTGCAAACTGGGAAAAGAGTGAATAAATTACAGATTGCCTCTCCGAGAGAATATTTCCAACCCCCAGATGACCACATCACTGAAAAGCTGGGAAAAAAAAACCCAAAGAGATTGCTGGCAAAAAGTCTCTTCTTGACCCCTCAGAATCTCAAACTGTTATTATTAAATATCTCTGTCATTTAGACCTCAAGTATAATATGACACTGATTTTATTTATTTATTACATTGCAATTTAAAATAAATCCTCAGGGGCAGCATGCTTGGTTGTATCTTTTGTGATCACCACAAAAGATTTATTACATTGCAATTGAAAATAAATCCTCAGGGGCAGCATGCTTGGTTGTATCTTTGTTTTGTGATCACCACAAAAAGCACTGCTGGCCATGTGGGGGTGGCTCAGCCTTCGATGCTCCAGGGGGGAATAAAGAGAATTCTCATGTTTATTGTGATACCAGAGCTGGGTAAAAAATGGGTAAAACCAGAAATGGGTAAAATAAGGGTAAGAGCAGAACTGGGTAAAAAAAGGGTAAAAGCAGAATTAGGTAAAAAATGGGTAAAACTAGAATTGGGTAAAAAATGGGTAAAGTCAGAACTGGGTAAAAAATGGGTAAAAGCAGAATTGGGTAAAAAATGGGTAAAAGCAGAATTTGATTTAAAAAATGGGTAAAAGCAGAATTGGGTAAGAAAATTGGTAAAAGCAGAATTGGGTAAAAGATGGATAAAAGCAAAACTGGGTAAAAAATGGGTAAAAGCAGAATTGGGTATAAAATGGGTAAAAGCAGAACTGGATTAAAAAAAATGGGTAAAAGAATAATTGGGTATAAAATGGCTAAAACCAGAACCGGGTAACAAATGGATAAAAGCAGAACCGGGTAAAAAAATGGGTAAAAGCAGAAATTTGATTTAAAAAATGGGTAAAAGCAGAATTGGATTTTAAAAAATGTGTAAAAGCAGAACCGGGTAAAAGATGGATAAAAGCAGAACCAGGTAAAAAAAAATGGGTAAAAGCAGAATTAGGTAAAAAATGGGTAAAAGCAGAACTGGGTAAAACCACAAACGGGTAAGAAATGGGTCAAACCCGAACCGGGTCAAAGATGGCTCAAACCCGAACCGGCTCAAACCCGAACTGGCTCGAACCACAACCGGCTCGAACCAGAACGGGCTCGAAGATCGGTCAAACCCGAACCGGGTTAAAGATGGGTCAGACCCGAACCGGCTCAAACCCGAACCGGGTTAAAGATGGGTCAGACCCGAACCGGCTCAAACCCGAACCGGGTTAAAGATGGGTCAGACCCGAACCGGCTCAGACCCGAACCGGTCCAACCCGAACCGGGTCAAAGATGGCTCAAACCCGAACCGGCTCAAACCCGAACTGGCTCGAACCACAACCGGCTCGAACCAGAACGGGCTCGAAGATCGGTCAAACCCGAACCGGCTCAAACCAGAACCGGCTCGAACCAGAACGGGCTCGAAGATCGGTCAAACCCGAACCGGGCCAAACCCGAACCGGGTCAAACCCGAACCGGGTCAAAGATGGCTCAAACCCGAACCGGCTCAGACCCGAGCCGGCTCAGATCCGAACCGGCTCAGACCCGATCCGGCTCAAACCCGATCCGGCTCAAACCCGAACCGGCTCAGACCCGAACCGGCTCAGACCCGAACCGGCTCAGACCCGAACCGGTCCAACCCGAACCGGCTCAGACCCGAACCCGGTCCGACCCAGGGGGCGCCTCACCCGAACCGGCTCAGACCCGAACCGGTCCAACCCGAGCCGGCTCTGTCGTTTGCACCGAGCCCGCCAGGGGGCGCCTCGGCGCGCCGTCCCCGCGCATGCGCACAGCGCCGGCGGAAGCGGCGGGACCGGCAGCGCTGGCGGCGGAGCAGCAGCAGCAGCAGCGGGGGAGCGGCGGCGGCGCCCGGGTGGGTCTTCGCCGGCAAGTCCACGCTGGGCCGCGCCCTGAGCCGCCGGCTGCCGCAGCGGCGCGGCTGGGCCTGCGCACTGCTCGCCTACGACGAGCTCATCCCGCCCGAGGCCTTCCGCCCGCGCGCGCCGGGGGCGGGCCCGCAGGAGCCGTCCCCATTGGTCAGTGCGGCGCGTCACTGCGGTTGCCAGGCAACGCGCGGCGGGCGGGCCGGAGCCCTCATGGCGGGCCGGGCCCGAGGCTCCGCGGCCGCGATGCGGGCCCTGACCGCTCGCCGTCCTCTCTCCGCAGCTGCCCGGCTGGAAGCGGAGCCGCCGCCAGCTGCTGCAGTGCCTGGAGGGGTTCCTGCGGGCGCTCCTCGCCGGGGCGGCGCTGCCCGGGCCCGCGCAGCCCGGCTGGCCGCGCTTCCTGCGCTGCCTCCGCCGGCAGCGGCTGCTGCCCGCCGCCGAGGGCGGCACCGGGGCCGCCTCCCCGCCGCTCGTCCTCCTGCTGGATGACAACTTCTACTACCAGAGCATGCGCTACGAGCTGTACCAGCTGGCCCGCAAATGTAATTATTGTGATCTCCGGCGTGAGGATGTTCGTAGGAAATTCAGCTCCAGCCGCCTTCTTTGGAGCGCTCTCCCCGAGCTGGGTTATTCTGATTGCTGGGTGCCTGCAATAGGGTAGCAATCAATGTCACTTTGTTACTGCCTTGTTACAAATTGGTGTAAACCCCTTCCTAGAGCAGCCTCAAAGCACCTTCCAGTGCATAAGGAACTCCAAGAGAGCTGGAGAGGGACTTTGGACAAGGACATGGAATGACAGGGCAGGGGAAATGGCTTCCCACTGCCAGAGGGCAGGGATGGACGGGATATTGGGCAGGAATTGTTCCCTGTGAGCGTGGGCAGGGCTGGCACAGGGTGCCCAGAGCAGCTGGGGCTGCCCCTGGATCCCTGGCAGTGCCCAAGGCCAGGCTGGACAAGGGCTGGGAGCACCTGGGACAAGGGAAGGTATCCCTGCCCATGGCTGGAGTGGAATGAAATTATCTTTGCTGCTCTCAGAAATTGTTACTTGAACTGTTTAAAGATAAAATTCCCTGGTTCTGTTCTTTTTAGATTCCTTGGGCTTCTGCCAGTTGTTTTTAGAGTGTCCAGTGGAATGCTGCCTGCAGAGGAATCGCCTCAGGAGTGATCCTGTGCCTGAGCACACCATACAGTTAATGGCAAGGAAAATAGAAATGCCAGATCCCAGGAAGAACCCCTGGGAGCAGCACAGCCTCATTCTGAGCAGCTCTGATGGCATCTCAGAGGATGAGTATGTTACTGTTGATCCTTTGGTTTTCCCTAAGTGCTGTTTTCAGGGGTAGAAGCTTCTCATTGTATCTGCACAGAGTGTAAAAAGTATTGCCAGTGGTGATTTTTGGAAGCCAGGCAGTTACACAGAATCCAGGCTTGTTGGGAGCTCACAGCCACCATCCTCTGCAGGGTTAACCCCAAAACTCACAGCATTCCTGCCCTGTCACTGATGATCTGTGCAAGTGTCTGAAATGCTAAGGTTGAGTTGTCATAACTTGAGTTGTAACTGTTTTTAATTTCAGATTATTTCACTGATTACCTTAAAAAATTAACAGAATCAGAAAGAGTTAACCCAGGAGGAGCACCTGGGAAATCACCAGCTCCACCCATGGCAGGACATGCAATTAACTGACATGGGACCTAATTAGAAAGTGTTATTTTATTCATATCTTACAAAAGCAAAGCTTCACAACATGAACTACACGAGATAGAGTTATTTCAGAATTAACCTTGTCGTCTCAGAAACGTTCACTAACATTAAAATTTATTTTACAACTCTAACAGGTTTCATTTTTGCATAAAATCTGCTTTTTACACTGAAATACATATTATTAACAAAGTGGGTACTTAGAAGCACATAGACAAAGATTGCTCAATGAAAAATGCTTTAGCAGGAGAGAGATTCCCTGCAGCAGAACATCATTTGCTGTAGATTTTCAAGGAAGCTTAAAATTAGTAGAAAACTTGCCAGTGAAGACTTCTAAATTACATTCCCTTCGTCAAAAAGAAACAAAAAGCAAACCCCCAAAACATTCTGGAACAAAACAAACAGGAACAGATTATTTGGCTGGAAAACACACTGGAAAGTGTCCCGGCACTGAGTTTTATATTAAAAAGCCAATCAACATTTTGTGTCTAAATCCTCTTCATCTAAACATGTGTCTGTGAAAAAAACAAATATTTTTCCTATTGCCTCCTTCACAGTTGAATATTAACTGAGATAATAAAGATGTTCAAATATCCAAATGTTCATTGGAATATTCAGTCTCAAAACAGTAAATGTGTATTAAGAGTGCTGTAAATAGTGCATGTTAGAAATGTCCACAAAGTTACAAAATAAGCTGTGACAATGAAAACAAAACCCCCACAAAGTTCATGTTTTGGAGCTACAGAATTTAACAGAACTGAGCTATGGAAAAATTCCATCTCCTTCCAAAACCTCCATTAATAACTGTTGTAATGCCAATCACCCATTGCCTTATAATGTGAGGATTTGGGTTTTTAAAAAACCACCAAAACAAGTGACAGCAGTGTAGCACATGGAGGACTCAACATGAAAAGTTCTTTTAACAGAGGGCTCAATCCCAGGATCCTGGCCAAGTCTCCCTCACTGACTCTGGGTGAGGCCTGCTTGTGCAAGGGATCACACTTGGAAAGAATTTGCCAGTACCAGCTCTGCTCTTTAAATTATAGTCAATAGTATGTATAAATAATGAAAAACAGGAAAATACACCTTCCAAAGCTCCTCAGCTGACAGAAGGGGACAATGATGTCAGGGCACAGCTGAACACAGTGTGATCATGGGACACGAGCAATCCCAGTCCTGGGAAGGACACAGGGATCCACCCCAGGGCTCTGGGGGCAAAACCAAGGGATGAGCACCAGAGATGCTGCTGCTGCTGCCCAAGAACCCCCTGCAAGGAGGAGTTTGCCCAAGGGAACAGGGAAAAGAGTTTTTTTCATGCCTCATCCATTCAGAGATGTCCCAGCTAATCTTCCCCTTAGTCACTCCAGAGCAGAACCAATGGTGTCCAGGCAGCAGCTGGAAAATCCTTCCAAACCTTGATTTGCAAGGCTTGGGGACACATTTTTTCACACTGAGTTCTGTTATTAAGAACACACATTCCCCACAATGGGATCCCCCTCTAAACAAGGGCCCCTTTTCCACGAGGTCCTGCAGGCTTCCTCCTGCTCCCAGCTCCCCCATTAGTGACCTATCCTGAATTCTGTCCAAGGCCATCCTGGGGCAGGAGTTGTTCCTCTAAATCACCAAATCATGAGACAAGAAGCCTCTAACAATGTGAACACTGCCAGCAGGAGCCCCAGAGGTCAGAAACCACATCTGTGCACGTGGAAATGACTGTTCCTGTGATACCAGGCAGGAAAAAACCACAAACCAAGGAGCACTTGGCTGCTGTGATCACTCAGCACTGTGAGGTGCTCCCTGGAGCACCAGCATTCCACAAGTTCCCTTGGGAATAGGAGAGTGCATCATCTACCAAAAAGGCAGGGAAAACCACTTCCATAAATTACTACTTGTAAAGTCTTCCAGTCTTTTATCCTAGCACTACATTTGAGCCAAATTTAAATTGCAGAATTGTTCAATGTGTGATCAAAACAGAGACACCATTTCTGCTATCTTTGACTGGAAAAATTTTGTTTCCAGAACCTGTTCAGGAGCAGTAACTTCCACCTGGATTGCAGTTCAGTCAGCTTTTACTCCTTAAAATACAGGATGTTTACACACACAGATTTGCAGCTTTACTTACAAAATAAATCTAAAAACTATAAATCAACAATGAAATATTTTGGAATTACAGAGTGTCCTGATGAAAAATGCAAATTACATTCTGTCTTACAAATGCAGCAAAACAAATTCTGAACCAGGCCTGAAAACAAAACAATTTTTAGGAGTGACAGTGTTATTGTTCATCTTCTACACTGGAGCCACTGCAGTGACAGATTTCTGACCTCATTACTTCAAGACTGCACAGCCAAGGAAGAACCCAGTTCCTCAAGCACAGAAATTCATCAGTAGGTCAGTCAGGTACACAGAAACACATCTGGTATCCAAATTTCTATTTAATTAAAGTCAAAATCACTTCTACAGCTAAAATTCTTACAGGTGGTTTTCCTGCATTCATCTCACCCTGATCACTGTAAGTTTTTCCATTGGTTTCAGGAAATTTTAGCAAAAAATATGAATTTGAATAAGTCAACATTTCCTATTGAGATTCCAACCTCTGACTTGTGGAACATTAATAAAATCTTCTTGCTTTTAACAAAACATGGTTTGCTGATAGGAAAGGGGGAATATATAAGGGAAGCTTTAATTTGTCTCAAGTAGGACAAACCAAGGTAAAAGTGCATGTCTACATATGGGACAAGTAACAGTTCTTCCTTTATTTTTAATGTCTCAAATTCTTATCTAGCACATAAAGTTATTATTCATTTTAATTAATGTTTTACTCAGGTTTATGTTAAAGTGCCTGTCCTTTAGCCTGAGGGCTTCTAAAGATGAGTGTACACTATGAAACAAAATAAACAACTTCAGTTATCATTTGCCATCCACAATTCCTAAAAACAGCTTCAGTGTAGTCAGTCAGTTTTCCTTTGCATCCTACAGGGAGCCAGAAAAAGCCAGAGGTCTTTCCCTTTATTCCCAGCACACCCAAAGGACACCAAACCTGGGAGAGGGGACAAACCAGGCCCCCAAGCCAGCTGAAATGTACAATAAACTGGATTATACAACTCTCAAAAGTACAGGCAACCTCTCAGCTGTAGCCTGGCCCAACATAAAACTGAGCAAAGGAGCTTGATTTGTAAACTTCTTGTTTGTTTCTATCAGAACTTCCATCAGCAGGACAGAAGTCTAATTGTGCAAATTTTAAATATCTGTACAACTCAGTTTAAGGCAGTTAGAAATCTCACAGAATATATATTAGTTCTACAGGCTCTTCATTATGTCTCTAAAATTGCCTCCTTTGAAAAACAATGGCATGTAAAATTTTGTAGAGTGTAGGTAAAATAAGGTATATTACTCTTTTGTTTTCAATAACTCATGAATGACAGGCTTTTAGCTCTTTCTTTTTCCTACCATAGTTTTATTCACAATAACTTCTTATCTTCTAGCTTTGTGCTAATAGTTAAATTAGTGTTTAAGTCCTAGCATGAAGAGTTTAGACTATACTAAACAAAAACTTATTATTAACTTTCATCAGATTAAAGCAACTTTTACATCAAATTGAATTTCTACATGAAAATTGCTTCTGGTTCTTTGAGTAGCCAGGTTTTTAAAGATTTCTCCAAAGTCAAAGAATGGTTGGGGTTGGAAGGGACCTTAAAGGAGAGACACTTTCTGCTATCCCAGGCTGCTCCAAGCCCTGTCCAGCCTGGCCTTGGGCACTGCCAGGGATCCAGGGGCAGCCTCAGCTGCTCTGGGTACCCTGTGCCAGGGCTGCCCACCCTCCCAGAGAACAATTCCTTCCCAATATCCCATCTAACCCTGCCCTCTGGCATCATGAAGCCATTCTTCCTTCTCCTGTCTCTACATGATGTTTCATTGCATTGACCTTTTGTATTTTATGGATAATATGTCTTGTCTTGCCCAGTAAACAATCTGGGAATTACATCCTATGGCTCAGGACACAAGCTCTGCTTCTCCACTTGCAGAATGTTTATTGGGATTGAGTGCAAGCAACTTAAATTTAACAACCACAGCATGTCAATGCATTCCAACCCTTACAGCACTCTTGGCTTTTTTTTAAAGGCTACATATAAAACAGCAACTGAACCTGATACAAAATTTCCCTGGCAAGTTTTACAAGAACACGGAAATAAATTTGCCTCCTTTGTCAAATTGATTAATGTGAAGATTCCTTATGGGAATGTGCAAGCTTTCCATCAGCAAGTATGAAAAATAGACTGTAATATGTTAAAAAACTAAACAAAAGCATGTTCTCAGTCAATGTTGATTATGTTGGCCTCTTGCAAAGTGGCAAGCGAAGTCGTACTTGTTTTTACACTTACACCCACAAATGTTGCACTGGAAAGGATTTTCAAATCCATGGCATCCCATGTGGATGGTGTAAAGGATATTGTCTGCAAAGTACATGTCACAGTGCGGGCAGTGGTGCAGGAGCTGAGGGTCCTGCACTGGCAGGGTTGGAGCTGGAGTGCTCGGCTGGCTGTTGCTGATACTGGGGGTACTGGTGTGGGCACTGCGGTCACTGCTGGGCCCTGCCACAGGACTATAGTTCCTCTGATTGTGTGTGGGCCGGGAATCAGGGCTGGTTGGAGAGGAATTCTGAGGAATATTTGCTGACACAGCTGAAACTACTGCAGGTGCAGCAGGCTGCTGTATCATGAAAGGCTTTTCGTCTTGACAGGAAACGACGTCAGGAGAGGCTGGATTTTGGTTTTCAGGTGGCAAACTGGACAACTGTCCTGCTAAGGTGGAGAGCTGGTTCAAAGGATTATCCACCATGAGGTCTTGTGGATCTCTTGGCAAGCCACCACCTGGAGTGGGTTTTGTCATGCTCTCGTACCCCTCAGTCTGGATATTGGGGATTTCGTGGGTGAAATCGTTAAGGTAGTCTGGTTTCTGCACCACCATGGAAGGCGGGCTCAGATTAATTAATGCTCTTCTGCTGTACCCCAAATTGCTGGTCTTCTTCTGCAGAACGCCCCACATCTTCTTGCTGCTCAGGGAAGACCTGGTGCCCTTGATGGGCACCATCTTGTGCTTGCGCCGGCGGTGGTGGGACAGGTTGCTGCGGTCGCTGCAGCGGAAGGAGCACAGCTCGCACTTGTAGGGCTTCTCCCCGGTGTGGGACCGCATGTGAGCCTCCAGGTGACGCTCGTAGGCCGAGGCAAAGGGACACAGGTGGCACCTGTGTGGCTTCTCCCCTGGAAAATCAGAACAGGTTAGCCCACAGCACCTCAGAGTGCCTGGAAAAGGCTTTGTGCGCAGCTCGTTGTGAGCCGCTCGCGCAGCTTCAGTCACCGCCAGCCTCGAGCTCATCCCGGGAGAGTGGAGAGCACTGGGACAGCTCTGCCTCGCCCAGGGATCATCAGCACACAGAAAAATCCTGAGTGGAACCAGCATAACACACAACCTGCCTGGGAACTGCAGCAACAACACCAAGGACTGAGTGCAGTGATGTCTGCGTGGTGCCCTGGGTCCAGGGAACACAGAATGACTGTGCCACAAAATGTCACTGTTCATCATGGTAACTCTGAGGGAGGTATCCTTCTGGGACCTTCAAACATCCCTACTCCTCAGCATCCTGGAACTACCACTCCAAATAACCCACGCACACAGGCAGCCACTCAAGGATGGAGCTTTGAAAAAGGAGCTGTGGCTAAAGGGTTGTAACAGAATTCAAAAGCCAGGTATTCCCTGGAGAGCTGGTGCTCTTCCAGATGGGAGATGGGATGATGACCAGGGAGACCCTCATCTCCTTTGCACATGCAGAACTTTGCTCTTCTATCAAATGAAATTTATAGATACAAAGTTTTCAGAGTATTTTTTTAAAAAAGTTAGTGTGAGTAACAGAATAACAGGCTAGCACTTTTGTAACCCAGCACTTTAGAACTTCCGATTTTCCCTTGACAGACTGATCTAGGAGTTACAGATCCAGGTCTGCAATGTCAGAAGTACCTAAAGGATCTGATGTGTGTTCAGGAGCTGAAATGAAAGATCATCTTCCTATCTTGAGTGCCAGCTCAATTTCTAAATCCCTGTCATATGACTGATGAGCATTCCATAGTTTGAGATCACAGTCTGGGATCCCAAATGGATTTCTTTTATTCCCCCTACACCACTGGCTCTCCAAAAGGAAAGAAATCAATTTTTATGCTACCTCTAAGTACCTTTTTTGCACCAAGTAAAACCCAGATTTCTGTATGAGCATCTCTCTGCACTCATGTATATACACACAAGGATGGGTAAAGATATGGGCACTTGACAAAATGGTATGAGAAGATTGGCAAAGTCTGTGTGAATGCAGGGAGTTTGTCAAGCTGATTTCATTCTAAACTGGTTACACAGAGATAAAAGTTTTCCATGACATGTAGCACAACACAGCTGGTGAGCTACTCATTATCTGCATGAAGTCAATCCTGCAGTAGGCTGCACTTAATAATAATAATAATGGCTGCATGACCATGCCTGGGTCACAATTCCTTTGGCAGATGTCCAGGATGCTGTACCTGTTGATTTACACTGCTCTGAGGCTGTGAGTCAGCTGCCACTTCTCTCTTTAATGCTGACTCATCTGAGCTTCACAGCACAAGCAACCCATCTCCTGGCCCTCTGCCAGCCTTCCAAGCCAAACAACACTCAGGCCTTGGATCTTCTTCCCTTGAGTGAAAAAACAAACCAAACCCAACCTGGAAAACCAAACCAAAATAACTGTTTTCTTGTTCTGGAAGACACAAGAGAAGAATTTACCAGGTCCTTCAGAATCTGAACCTCAGAACTCTCTGATTTCTGGCTGGTTGCCATTTCCTACCCCACGATGCCCTGCTGAAACAAGCCAACACTGCAGCCCCACCTTTCCCCAAATCCACCCAGGGAACTCCTGTGTGGAAGGAATGGCTCCCAGCAAAGTGAGACTGACTAACTGTGCCTGAGGAGAGCTACAATCACATCCCAGCTACAACAGGTGAGTCCCAAAATGCCACCTACCCCAGACCCCTGAAAAGAGACACACGGAGGTTTTGGGACAGTCCATACCAGACTGGAAACCTGTAAAAACTTTCATTCTTTGCAAGACACATTTTTTTTCTGCTCTGCTTAACATCTTGAAGTTGTCTGTAGTGGTGTGATACACTTGACAGAGTTCACAAGCACCTATTTTTTTTGTTTTCTCTCATTTGCCATGAAGTTTGGGCTTTCAGAACAGTTTAGGATATTTTAACCTCTATGAGAGTTTTGCTTTTCAGGTTTATACACCCAACAGTGGCAAATGCTCCTTAACAAGCCACAGTTGATAATTTTTCTGTTCACTGCTGATACCAGTCACTAACTTGATGGTAAGTCCTCACATTTGAATATTCCACCAATAACTTCATTCTTATTCCTAGGCTTTGTGCTTCCACATCTAGAATGTTGTGCAGAACAGGAATATTTTCATGGCTAAACAGAGGAAGAAAAGGGCCTGTAAATCTCCGTGTAGGAACATGTACATTTGTCACTTTTCTCATCAGCACAGAAAAACTAAGGTATTTTTAGGGCCCTTCAATTTACATTGAAGCTTTCATGCTAAACTCTACTCCCATATAGTTACTTATGATAATAAATGTCAGTAGGGATAGGCACAGTTTAAATAGGTACATGGCACACCTTTACAAAAATGGACTCTAAAAACCCACCAATACCCAGCTCCTGTTAAGAATTCTCACGCTGCTTGAATTTGCCAAATCCCAATGCAGAGGAAATGCCCCCAGGGCCCCCAGGCAGGCAGAGCAGAGGATGCCATACCTGTGTGAATCCTGATGTGCTCGATGAGCCGTGCTGTTCCTTTGCTGGCATAGTTACAGTATCGACACTTTAACTTCCCATCAAAAGTCCTTTCAAAGCCATCCACCAACATTCCTGAGTTTTCATCCAGGGAAACTTCAACAGAAGGATGATCCAGACCATTCTGATCACCTTCTGTCCCAGCTGTGAACAACGCAACGCAGATTTTAATGAACAATCTGTGGGATGCCATCTGTCACACTGTGAGCAAGTGCCAAATGGCTTTTGCTTCTCTCTTGGTCTTTAAATATAGAGAATTATAAGAACGTGCCCTGGTTAAAACTAAGGTACATACACATCCTTTGTGACATGAAAATGACTATCAGAAATGCTTCCATACAGCTGCAGCATTACCTGGACTGTGAACACTGAAGTCATTCTCAAAAAAATCAAATGTATGGTACTGGAAAAAAATTGATGGTACAGCTCACCTCCCGGGAGAGTCTCTACCTCCTTGTCACCAGTAACTGATCCAGAGATCATATTGACATGTTGAGTCTGCTGGGTCAGATATTCCTGAAAATCCTTCACGAAATCCAACGGTTCTGCCTTCTTTTCCCCCATATTGACTCTTTCATTTACAACCTCTCGTGCCTAGAAGGGAAAATGTTTTCAGAACACAAGTGGCATTGAGTTTGGCTGCATTCATAGAAACAAGTCCAGGTTTTGGGTTGGATTTTAAGTGAAGAATTACTTTTATCACACAGCACGTGTGTGGTGGTTTAACAAAGTCTGGTTTTCAGTTGAGGGGGTGGGGACCTGGCAGACCCAATGAGCTGCCTAGTTCGAAGAGCCAATCAGTTGGCTAGAGTTGAAGATTGACATCTGGTCAACCAATCAGCGGGCCAGTTTGGAAGATTGACACCTGTTTAAACCACTTAGAAGAGCGGAACATGCCTCTACGAAAACGCATTCAAGGATGGGAATGGCCGCTTAGGGCCTCTGAAGAGGGCACTGGCTGGGCCAGGCCTGGCTGGGCTGGGCTCTCCTGGCCAGGCCAGGCCTGGCTGGGCTCTCCTGGCCAGGTTGGGGTGCTCTTGGCTGGGATTTCTGCCACCACCAGGCCGTGCTGCCGGGACTGTCCCAGCACTGCGGGCGACCGCGCGGCCAGGACGGCGCAGCCGGGGCTGTCTCGGCATGGCTCGCAATGTTGCTTTTAGACAGAAGGACAAAAGCAGCAGCAGCAGTTTTGTTTCTTTTCCTGACACCCCACATGAAGGAAAGGCACAGGGGTGGTGCCAGCAGGGAGTACATGATCAGCAGGCAGAGACACAGCGATTCCTCAGTGGTGGAACCTGGACAAGATCAACCTTTCAATGCTGCAGGACTCTATAAAAACTGTTCCAATTGATAAAGCAAATGAACATACTAATTCTCTCCCAAGTCAGGAAAAGGAAAGGGTGAAGACACGTGGAGAAAACAGCATGGACACTGAGAGCAGTAAAGGAGTCAAATTCTAGATGGGAGGGGATTGAGGAGATGCCTTAGTCTTGGGCTGAAATTCTTTGGTGAGGCTATGGTGAAGACATATTTTTGATCTATCAGACTTTATTTTTTCCCTTTTTCTCACAAAGTGCGTGGGGGGATGCAGCATTCAGCTGCAGCCCCTGAGAGATGGACACTCAGGCTGGAGCTGTGGATGCTGAAAAGCTGTAATCCAATGAGAAGCTGGAACGGAGAGAGATGACAAACTTTGCCCCAGGGATAGAAGAAGAAAGAACTCTGTTCCCAGAGATAAAAGAAGAGAACTTTTATTTTTATGCTAGAACAGTTCATCCATAAAATAGTGCCCCATAAGTTAACATGGCCCATGAAAGCAGCTGTGGGAAAGCTGTAACTCATGGGAGGGACCTTCACACTGCAGACAGATTTTCCTTTCCTGGGGGCTGATTTACTGCTGGCATTGAAGCCACAGGAGAACTGCTTCTTGTGGAGAATCTCCACAGCATGGCAAGAGAGACTCCCCTCCCTAGCTGGACTGAAGAAAGATTATTTTAGAGGTGGCAAACTGAAAGTTCCAGGTTTTGTCTCTTTAAGTTGTGGGAAAGAAAAGAGGGTGTTGGGGAAGAAGTGTTCTGAAGGTTTGTTCTGATTTTATCATTTTTTATTTGAATTCTGTTAATAAAGTTTTGTTTATACCATTTATAGTTTTGAGCCTGCCCTTCCTAATCCATATCTCACAGCAGGAAATTATTAAATAAATAATTTTTAGTGGATGCGTGGGCATTTGCCAGCATTAGACCCACCACACCGATTCAAAGAACAAATTGGCAACCAGAAGAATATTGGTTTTTGAATGTTTAACTCATTAAAGATCACCAATACAATTCATGGGGAAGGCGCTTTCAGCAACAGGTAAATGACATAATAACAACACAGTAAATACAATTTTAAAATTAAAAAATACATAACAATAATAATAATAATCAACCTGTCTTTTTAAAATAAAAATAATGGATCATACCTGAAGTTTAGTTCCCTGCTAAGTAGCAAACATGCTCCAAAATGTACAACACATCAGATCTTTCAGCAACAGGTAAATGACATAATAACAACACAGTAAATACAATTTTAAAATTAAAAAATACATAACAATAATAATAATAATAATCAACCTGTCTTTTAAAAATAAAAATAATGGATCATACCTGAAGTTTAGTTCCCTGCTAAGTAGCAAACATGCTCCAAAATGTACCACAACACATCAGAGAAGAAGCACAGAGCACAGCTTCTCCACTTTTCCTAGAAGGAATAAAAAGGAAATGTGAGTCTATTACTCCTCCCAACCCCCATGAGTTACAAGAAGGAAACCTGAAAAAGATTTGTGTTTGAAAGACAGGGCTCTGACACTCTGCTGCTCTCAATTTTATAAAACAATCACACTTCCAGTAAAAGTTTTTCAAAGGCTGCATCCTCTGCTTCCTGGATGCCACCTGAAGGACACTTCTGGCTCACTTCTGTTTTCCAATAAACATCTGGCTCCAAAAATCCCCATATTTGGGTCAGTCAGTTCTGGGAACTGCAATGTTGGGAAACAACTAAATGTGGGTGATTAGCAAAGCTGGAAAGAAGCTTAGACAAAGCATTGTTTCACAGCTCTCCCAAAATTTGACTTTCCTATCCTGAGTAAAGGTCTTATTCCTATCCATTATTTTGCCCTGAAATGATTAAAATATTCCCCAGAAATCAGTGGTTAGGCTTGTACTGGGGAGTGTAAACAACAAACCTCTAGGAAGTCCCAATTCACAATGAATTTGGGAAGACAGAGATTGGGATACATGTGGAAGGAGAACAACGAGTCTGTCACGTTATTTCCACAGATTATAACCAGAAATAATTTACACTGCTACCATTTCAACAGGAATATTCCTTATTTTTAATAGGTTCTCAGATGACCTACAGAAACTCAAGTTCTGAGTTCCAGACCACATTTAAATATCTTCTCCTGTGTATCCAAAGCTCCTCACAGACGTTGGTTCATTTCTGGCATCCAGATGAGGATGTTCTTTCACATCTTGCCTGAGTGGGCTCAACTCCCAGCACTGATTACCACCATTAAGTTAAGTCTGGAACACATCTTTATCTATCTCTTACCTACCCTCTCTTCCAGGTGTCGCCAGCCTCCTGTAGGCTTAAGTTAATTTGTGTTCCATTTGTTGGTGTCTCCTGCAGTAAAACAAAGACATCAGGATATGAATTGCAATATTAAAGATACCTCTAATATTGAAGATATGAAGAGAAAAACAGGACAATGTAACACAGAGTCTTGACCAGGCCAACTTCCCATGAATTATAATAAGAAATAATTTAAAATTAAACCATTCAAAACAACATCAAAGGTTTGTTTTATCAGAGGAGAATCTGTGTGTGCCTTTGGGTAAGGCACTAAAACTTATTTCAGAGAATCACAGAATAGTTTGGGTTGGAAGGGACCTTAAATCCCACCCAGTGCCACCCCTGCCATGGCAGGGACACCTTCCCCTGTCCCAGGTTGCTCCAGCCCCAGTGTCCAGCCTGGCCTTGGGCACTCCAGGGATCCAGGGGCAGCCACAGCAGCTCTGGGCATCTTGTGCCAGGGCCTGCCCACCCTCACAGCCAGGAATTTCGTCCTAATATCCCATCTAACTCTGCTCTCTGTCAGTTTAAAGCTATTTCCCCTTGTCCTGACACTCCAGGCTCTTGTAAATAGTCTCTCTCCATCTTTCTTTTGTGTCCTGTCCTGAAAAGCCACAATTAGGTCACTTCAAAGCCTTCTCCACTCCAGGCTGAACAACCCCAATTCTCTCAGCCTTGCTTTATTGCACTGATTGCTTTTAAAAATCATTTAATTGTGAAAGAAAATGACATAAAACTTCATAAACAGATTAGGGATCAACTGCACAAAACTTCCTTTCTCTACCTCATTGATTTATCATGAGAACACTCATCCTTTTCTTTACACCAGTGTAGGGAAGTCACCACAATTTAAACATGACCCAAAGCTCCCACTGGTGTGCTCAGACACTTCTGTGATTTTGTGTGGGATTTTTCAGAGCTACACAGCCAGCAGCTCTCCTTCTCAGGGCAGAGTGACACACATCTGATCCTTGCTGTGTCACTCCTGCAAACCTGCAAATGCAATTCTAATTCCCAGAAACTGAGCAGCCCAGCTCGTGTTTCACACCCCAGGGCTGGGCTGATCACACCAGGTGCTACCCGAGCTCTGCTGCCACAACCACACCTCCTCCAGCTTCACACCACCAGCAGCAGGGCACTGCTTACTCATCTCCTACCCAGGCACAACTGCTGGCCTGAGCAGGGGTCACAGCACCGAGCTGAGCTTGCTGGCAAAGAACGTGCCAGGATGAAATATTCTGCCTGAATAATGCTGCTAAAGGAAGCAGTTCATAGGGTACACCCAGCAGTTTCACACACACAGTCAGAACTAATCCTGCAGTAATTATAACAGCATAAAGTGTCTATGAGGACATGTATGCAGTGAGAGAATAGAATTACTGTGAGCAGATGGATGCATCCCACCTCCTTCTAAGGAATCCCGGGGAAAAAAAGGGGGTGTGTTCTCTCTTCCATCTTTTCCATAGCAAATAAATGAAAGCAGGAAGGATTCCAAACTTCATCCAAGCAGGTGGATGGAGTCTGGAATGAGTGTGACCGTGGGGAGGGGAGTGAAGCACAGCGTCGGTGGCCACCCTGACCTGTCACCAGCCCCGAGCGGCCCCGCTCGATCCCGCTCCTCCTCCTCCAGCCCCAGCCGGAGCAGGAAGGGACACGGCCACGGGAAACCTCCCAGGAAGCCGCGTGTCCCGTTCCGGGCTCCTCGGACACGAGCCACGGAGCTTCTGTGGAGCGTGCAGTGAAGGGCTGCAGATGCTGAAGGGGCTGGAGCAGCGCCGTGCCCGGGAAAGGCGGAGGGAGCTCGGCCTGGAGAGGAGCCCCGCCGAGAGGGACCCTCAGCCCCGGGTGTCCCGGGGTGTCAGGGCAGGCACCAGAGCCACGGGCGGGGACCGATGCACAGCGAGTTCCACCCCAGCGAGGAAGAACTCCGCTGTGAGGGTGGGAGCAGGCTGCCCAGCGAGGTGCGGAGCCTCCCCCGCTGCAGACGCCCGGAACCCGCGCCGTGTGCCGGGGACGGCCCCGCCGAGCGGGGAGGCGGCACCGGATCGGTTCCTTCCCACCTCCGCGACTCTGCGATGCTGCGATTCCAGTAACTCTGTCATTTCTGCCGTCCTGTGCTTTCTGTGGCCGCTCCGATTGGTGTTTCCCCCGCTCCACGCCAAGGCAGCGGCCGCGGGGCTGCGCCGCTGACCCGGCCCCGCTCCCGGCGGGGCAGCGCGGCCCTCCCCGAGCGCTGCCCCCCGCCCGGCCCCGTCACGGCACAGGGAGGCCCCGGAAGGAGAAGGAGGGGCGGAAAGGGAGAGGGAAAGAGAGGGAAGGGCAGGGAAAGAGCAGGAAGGAGAGGACCGGCAGCACTCACCGCCGCCGCCCCGCGCCGCCACCACCGCCCGCCGCCGCCATGTTTGTTGTGCCTCCCCCGGCCCGGCCCGGCCCGGCCCCGCCCACCGCAGTCTCGCGAGACCCGGGCGCGCCGGCGGGAGCGGAGGAGAGGGGGCGTTGGCTCTGACGTCACGGGGTGTTTGCCATGACGTCACGAGGGCGTTGGTTCTGACGTCACGGGGCGGGCGCCGAAATGGCGGCGGCGGCGGGAGCTTGGCTGAGGGGTTGCGCCAAGGTGACGCCTCAGGGCGGGACAGGGGCACGGGAAGGGACAGGGAAAGGGACAGACCCCGTGCCCGGGTGCAGCTCTGCGGGGCGGTGCGGGAGCGTCCTTTCCTCCCTGTGCGCTGCGAGCGCGTGTGCGGAGCGACGGTGCTGGGTTTGGCGCTGAGAGAAGTTCTGTAAGTCAGAGGCGCTTCGGGCTCGCCCTTGGTTACAGCAGCGAGGGCTCTCCCGGCGCGCTGGCGCTGCCGGGAACGGGCACGGCCGGCCCGGGAGCCTTGGGATGCCCGGGCTGGGCATTGCGGGTGTCTGCGCGGGGTCAGGCTGCGGGGCCCTTTCCGCTCGGAATGTTCTTGGTTTTCCTGAGCGCCCCCGAGGCGCTGGAGCTGTGAGCAAGACACGCGGGGACCCCGGGGTTTTGCCATGTGTGCCTTGGCTCTGCGGGGTGAGACCTCCTGCTGCAGCTCCTGGGTGTGCTGCGGCTCCGGAAATAAACTGAAATAAAGAAAACCAACCCTAAAATTGAATGCAAGCTTCCCACTGGGGAGCTTCTCTGCTGGGAAACGGGAGCTGTGTGGGAAAACAGCTGGGATGGACAAGGAGTGGAAGTCACAAAGGGAGCTGAGGAAAATTGCTTTGGGGTTTTTGTTTTGTTTATCTCTTAATGCTGCCGCCAGGTCCAGCATTAAAATCTTGTTTTAGATTGCAAAACAAACATGAAGGCAGGAGAACTGATCTTTTAAAGAGCTGAGGTGGAGGTAAGAATTGAGATAAACAGAAAAATCAATGTTATCAGCAACCAATTCTCTAAAGCCTGTGTTCAGTAGGGCAGGCAGTCTGAATCCTGGAGCAGGATAAATCACTGCCTGCAGAAGGAGAGCAGGAAAAAAGGCAGGGAAGCAGCAGCCAAGGATTTGAATAATGCACATGCTCTTTAAATAACTGCCTGAAATTAGTGATACTGCAAGGCCTGTAAGAAAAGAAAGGTGCACAATAATGTAGTGACTTGATTATTTAGTTTTAAAACTTAAATGTTGAACTACAACATAACTTCCACAGTGGGCTGTTATTCCTCTGGGACAGCTGTGAGTTGCTGCTCTTTGTGTGGGCGTTGCCTTGGATGCATCCCATTGGTTCCCAAACTTTTCAAGGTGACCTTTTTGGGAATATTCCTTTTGTCCTGCAAAGGAGCAAAGTGTCCCAATTACTGACTGGCCAAGGCATGGCTGATGAATGCCTGGACAGGGCTTGGGGCAGCCTGGGACAGTGGAAGGTGTCCCTGCCCATGGCAGGGGGTGGCACTGGCTGAGCTTTGATGTCCCAGCCCAAACTACTCCATGATTTTATGCTTTATATTCCCAGTAATTCACCATGCAGGAAAACACTCTTTGTCCTTGGGAGTGCAGCAGTGGAAGGAGCAGGGCTGTGTGTGGCTTGCAGCCCTGTCAGGGCTCAGGAAGCAGCAGAGTTAAACAGAAGTGTGCATGTGCAGGCTTTCCCTTCCAGCCCCTGCCAAGGACAGGCGTGCACAGGTGGGTGTTTGCACTCCTGGCTGTCAGGTGACTCCAGCATAATAATCCATTCCTGGCTGACTGCTCCCAGAACCTGTTTGCCTGGGGTTTAATCTCCATTAAAACAGTGTTTTCTTTATTTTGTGAAGTGACTCCAGTAACTCCATCATCCTTTGAAAGCGTTGCAGCTACTGCTGACCATCCAGATGTACTCACAATTTAGCCCTGCTCAGCAGTGGTTGTTTTATGTCACCAGGGGTGTTGAATGTGAATAAACACTGAATTTTCACAGCAATATTAATTTTCTCTATTACCACTTCTGACTGTTTGTTGTTTTTGGGGTTTTATTTTATGCACAGCGCTGTTTGTGCCAAAATCAGAATTTCCTTATCACAGCAGACTTTTGCTTCTTGTCTCCACAAGAGTTCATGGGTGTGTTTTCCATCAGTTCTTCAGCCAGGAAGATGACAAGTGTTGAAAGCCAACATGAAAGACAGAGAATTATTAGAAAGATCAAAGGAATTTTTACTTCCTGACCCCAGAGTTGCTGCTGGTTTTGGAGGAATGCTGCTGTCACAGTGTGCACTGTGGAATTGCCCTGTGTTCTGTGGGCTGAGCAGGCGCCTGCTGGGGGCACAGCCAGTCTGTCCCTCACTCTGGGGTCAGAATGAGTGCTGCCAAGAACCTGTGCTGGCAGACACGTGGTTTCATTCTTCATGGCCCAGCTGTGTCTCTCCTGGGGGTTTCTGTCAGCACTTGTCCTGGTGAGACATTTGTGTCTCCACACTTTGGACTGGCAAGGCAGAAGTGCCAGAAATCTGTGGCAGAGATCTGCCCTGGAGTGGGCTGGGAGTGGGGAGCTGTGGGAGCAGAGCAGAACCATTGTTCTGTCATTTTGAGACACACACAAACTGGGCTGCTTTTCAGGAATACATTTTAGCTACTGCTGGCCCATTACTTCTTGAGCCAGATCTTTTATGCTAACTTCATTTAAAGTCCTAAGCCAGACCCTTTATTCCCTGAAGTCCTAAATTTAAAGTCCTTCCTTTAAATTTCCTAAGGAGTTATTCTGTGTTTGGAATGCATATTTGCCTTCATACCAAGCTTGCCTTTCTAAAGCCTGCTGTGAGGTAATTAAGCCTTTGAACACCAAAGTTTTTAGGTCTCTCCGGAACAAAGCTGTCACATTGTCTATGTCCTGACAATCACTGTGTGTAGCTTCCTCCCAAAAGCCGCTGTTCTGTTCATTTTTGTGATTTTTGCCACATATTCTTAGTGCTATTCCCCACAGTAAAATGCTCAGCCTCTGCTCTTTTGGTGGGATAACCAATGCTTCTTGAAATCATTGTTGTATATTGTGGACAAATGGGGAGCATGAGCATAAATCACTTAGTTTTGATTGATTCCTTCTCATGCTTTTAAAATAAATCAGCCAGATAAGACACATTAATTATTAGTTACACTATCAACATACTAACTGTGGGATTTTAACTGTGTGGAAATTAACTGTACAGAAGCACTGAAATGCCAGGGCTTTGTCTACAAAATGTGTGCTCATTCTGAAAATCATTAAGAGGTGGATGAGAATTCAGTCTGAATTCAGAAATCCACAGTGCAGTTAAAAGTTAGGCTCTTTCATGGAAAAATGCCAATAATCCACGTGAGGGGCTGTCAGAATGCTTTAGAAACAAGAGTTGCTGGTCCCTAGAAAAGCAGGAGAAAGCTAAAGTCAGTCATTAAAGTTGACAGGCCTGTAAAATTCATTGTATGTGTATTTTATATTTACTCTTATCAGTCTTGTTAGTGAAAGTATTCATTCTATTGAAATACACACTCACTACTCTGAATATTGCAGTAGACCTGCAAAATCATCTATAAAAATAAATACTACCAGCAGGGTTTATTTGCTGTAAACACTAAAATTTAATTTTACATTAAAAATGCTTGTGCATACTTTGTAGAATAACCTTGTGTTAGTAAACTTCCAGAAAGAAAACTGTTTCATGTTAAAAGAAAAGTAATTAAAGGATATTTTCTTTTAGGACACAGGGGGAGGGGGAGGTTATATTTTCTCAAAAGCTTTCAGGCTGAACATTAGATGTAAGTTATATTTCCTAATCATTTACTGAATACAAGCACTGGATAAAGTTATAGATGGTTGTCTGCAGACAAATCTAACTGTTTGCATGTTCTGTATTTGTTGCCAGCAGCTGAGAAGACACATGCCAGCAGCCTTGGCTCCTTGGAGGGTTTCTCCCTGTGCTTTTAGATCCTCCAAATCAGAACTCAAGCCAAATGTAGCCGGTGATGGACTTGCCTGTGCTCCACTTCAAACATTCAC